TTCTCTGTTTTTGGCTGCATTTATTCTTTCTTCGGTTTTCAGTAACTCAAATTGGCTGGCCTCTCATCTGAACAGGGAAGAGCCTTGGTGGTTCAAAGCCAGTGTGCTGCTGAGAACACCCAAAACTATATAAAACAAACAAGTTTTATATCTTTGTCATGATCTAATCCTTGCCCATTTCTATTACAGGGGTGTAAAAAGAATTCCTTGGACTTATAATTACATTTTTGTCCTGGAATCTTTTATGAATAGCCTACAAAAATATATTTCTCTGTTCTTTTTCCAGATAATTCAATTTACCACAGGTTTACTCCAAGCATGGATACATCTCAGGGATATTTAAAGCCAACAAGATGCATTTAAGAGAAATTTTGTAGTTTTGTTATTTTGAGCTATTTAGTGTGGATTTATGAAAAAAGAATCCATATGGCACTGTTGCCTTCCACCAAGAAGATTCTGGGTTTGAATCTAGCAGCCAGCTGAGGCCTGTGTGGAATTTGCATGTGCTCCCTGTGCCTGCGTGGGTTCTTTCCAGTTATTCTGGCTTCCTCCCACAGTCCAAAGAGATGCAGGTGTGAAGGTGAACATGACTGGCGACTTGTCCATGTTGTACCCCGCCTCTCACTCTGTGACAGTTGGGATAAGCTCCAACACCCCCATGTGACCTTAAATTTCATGAGCAGTTAAAATATAGATCAATAGATGGATGGTGTTTCATACCTTAATTAACTGTGGAGAAAGTGAATGAATCTCAGTACTTTCTGAAGTAACTGTAATATTGTATTAATCACAGATTAATATCAGCACAGCAAATAAAAAGTAAAATAAAATAACTGATTTTGTCTTGCAATAAAACAAGAGAATGAATTCTGTGTAGGTACTCTACTGTCAGTAATTACAGGTTCATTTCAATTAATTAATATAGCATTTTTACATATATTCCTTAGACTGCTTTTTATTTTAACCTTTTTGACTAATTAAGACCAAGATATCTCACCGAGGCTTTCTGCTGCCGGGCAGAATTATCTAATTAATATGTAAGTCACACAGTGCACTTGAGTTTCAGTGATACAGAACTCCAGGAAGAAAAACAATACCTCAAGCAAACAATGTAACAAGTGCTTTAGGGTCTATGAAAGTACAAGTTTAAATCAGCACATTCTGCTAAATTGTATTTTAAAATAAGAGTTAAGATGACAGTCAAACCCACACATAAAAATATTTAGTAAAAATATCTTCTCTAATTATCTTCTCTCTAGGAAAATCGATATAGTTATTAGAAATGTACATGCATTAAAAAAATAGCCATACACATTTTATGCCATGCCCACCATCCATACACCACTAACAGTGATAAAATGTCTGAATCAGTGAAACTACCAGCTTTAAATAGACTATAATTACTTTAGTCGCTTTCACTCACTCCATTGGCAGAGAATCTTGTTAGGTTAAGTGACACCAAATAACATTAAAGAGTGTATAACTACAGTCTGGCGCATGCCACATCAGAGTGTGATGAGGCTTCTGCCACAACTCCTCAAATCGTTTCCCTATCGAGACCTCAAAGACTAATTGAAGTGATTTCAGGTGTTCAGTAACACATGTGACAGACAGCGAGGAGTCTTTACAAAAATCAGCCATCTTCTATAAGTAGTCCCCAAAGCTGCCTCTTCAGGTGGTGCTTTACTCACATAAAGGGAAAGTGTGACATCTAGTGTCTCTCATAGTAATAACATCTTGGATTTGTGCAGCTAAATCATACATGGTTAATCTATGTGCACTGGGATGCACATTATTTCAGTCTGGTTCTAAATGATACAACCAAATCAGTACCTCAGGAAGTCTGTTTCTTTTCTTCACTTGAGAAGCTATGCATCTTCATGTCAGGCTCATGCATTCACAAATAGCTATATGTTCAGCAAGAAATATATAGATGCCCGCCCAGAGAGCTTCACCCAAGCTTAGATGGTATGGAGGCATTTTGCACAATATGATGGACAGGCTACTTACAGTGCTCCATGTTCTCGAAGATGCTGCTAATGGGAGAAGTGGGGAAAGGTCTGTGGAGGCTTGGGGACTACGTGCCCAAATTGATTTACCTTTCATTATGCTTCTAGCTACATTCCACAAACCTTTGGGCACCTCCTAGATTCGACTCAATTCCATTCAATGCCATTTTATTTATATAGCACCAGATCACAACAACAGAGATGCTTCAAGATGCTTAATATTGTAACATAAAGACCCTATAATAACACAAAGAAACCCCAACAATTAGACCACACCCTATAAGGAACCACTGGTGACTGTGGAAAGGAAAAACTCCCTTTTAACAGGAAGAAACCTCCAGCAGAGCCAGGCTCTGGGAAGGATAGTCATCTGCCGCATACTTCAGTCACCATTACTGGATCTAGCTCTATCAAAAGCTGTTCAGCTTGTTGAAGTACTTCAGGACACATCTCAGAATTAAAAAGATGACTCAGTTTTTGATGAGTTATGGAGAGAGGTCTTAGGCAGCTCACAGCTGGTGACTTGCAGAAGCATTTCTTCAAGCCCAACTGCAATTTGAGAGGTGTTCAGACACTCCATCCTAACAGTGACAGCTTTTTATAAGAACTTCTGTTTTGTTTTCTTATTTGCAGAGATATATGACTTGGATGATCTCAAACATGAGCTGCACACAAGTCAAAAGGATTTTGCAAAAACTGAACAGGATACTGGAAATACTTTGTTTCTTGAACCTTTCAAAAAGGCGTAAGTTAATCATACAAGTAATTTGATGAGATTATGTGGTCTGTAGATTTTTAAATTATGCATATCTACTGAGCATTTGTATTAATGCACAACACGACAGAGGAACTATTAGCACTTTGAGCATTTACTCTTGCAGCCCTACACCTTTTTGAATGTACTGCGACAATACATACAAAATGTATGTACAGTGCCCCAGGAAGGCACTACTCCATATTGAACTCGGATTTAGCCAAGTGTCCTCAGACAGTCTGTTGGAAGGAGAAAACATCCTATCTGGAAAGATTGTTTTCACAGTATGACAAAAACTAATTACAAGCAATAAATTAATTTCACGCTACTGCTTTAAAATTAATTGCATCCTTACAGAAGTAACTGGAAGTGATGGTTCAAACGGGCCTGATAAGGGTGGACACACAAAATAGTCTATTGAATTTTGTGGCTTATCAGTGTCATTGCTTTGCGTAGGAAGGCATTTCATAGCAATTAAAGAAAATTATCTAAAATTCTCTTTGTTGTTATTTTAATTGCTGGTTGGGTATTTTTGTCATGCATTTCCAGCAGCACGTATTGCATTAGGGCGGCTGTGCATGCTGTTTTGTACAGCAGGCCCTTCTTATGTTTGTTATGGGGTTTTTTTGTTTTGTTTTTATATATAAAAATGTGTGAAAATAAAATCTTTGTAGTGAACTAGTAAGGCAGGATGAGGTCTTTTTCATTTTGATGAAACTGCCATGTCAATCTCTCCCACCCTGCTTCTCAGTTTAAACATACTTGAGACATATCACAGTCATTGAGTGGTCAGCACCTATAATTAAACTGTCAAATGATTTTGCTTATCAGCTATCTTTCACACCCTTGACCTCGGGGCTTAGTCATCACTGTGAGCAATTCCAGAGTCATGAGTTCATGACAGCAAAAGAGTTGCTATATTAGCAAGTTTTAAACATCTAAACTGCTTGAAAAGAAAAGAATCAGGGTTATGGCTTTAAAAATACTTAGGAATCTGAAATAAAGACACTTTTTATTGCAGATTACTACAAGATCAGTCATCAACAAAAGGGTTTTACCTTAGTAGAGAACAGTTCTTTTTTCAAATATGGGTAGAAGAGCTGCTATCTCTGCTTGGATCGCATTCTTCAGATTTTTGGGTTAAGCTTTTTTTTTGTGGAGGGGGGTCATTATTTTCAGTTAGGTGACTTATGTTCAAGATCACCTAATTAGTCCCTTTGGGATTTTGAGCAAAAACCCTTCATGTTCACATGTTGTTCACATCTTCCCATAATTGTGACAGTATTATTTTAATCTGTACAGATATTGTTGCGTTTCTAACAAGATTTCACTGTTTGATCGGGGTGACATTTTTTCCAGGAATTAATTTCACCATTTATTCTTCTCTCTGCCATCATATTTTATACTCATCATCACAATGTGACAGATGGCCCTTTCCAGAGCCTGCGATTGCATATTTCGAGCCTCAGGTGTCCTTTGTACGTCATCATATTGATAAATTGCATCAGAGACTGGTGACTTGTTTATAACTTCAGTGCGTATTTACATTATCTATAAATTAATCCAAAGTGTTACGAGAACTCTGGGGAATTTCAGTTGAGGTTTCAATACATTTTTCATTGAATATTATTTATTTACAGAGGTTTTTGAATAACAAAGCAAAGTCTGTTATCTATACTATCTGACAATTTAAAACTAATTATTGATAATTGTTAAATTACACTAATTGGGCAATTGCATAAATTTCCTGTAACCGGAAACTTTATGTCTAAAGAAGTCATGTACTGTTTACAAAATAGAGTTTGTTACCATGATTACAGTTAGAACATTTTAACAATAGGGTAGAACAATGTTGCCATAATAACACCAGTGCACCAACTGGATCTGCCAAAGACTGAAAGTAATTATTAGCCAAGGAGTTGAAACATTGAACTCATTGTATTACGCAAGCTATCTGTGCCCCACCCTGTAAAACATTCACCAGGGTGCACACAAAGCCCGAGCACAATATGCAACCAGACTGCGACCTTTCTGTACAACCAGAAAAAAGAATAAGGAACGTTTTTTAAAAAACAAACTAAAATTTAAATAAACAGTGAAGACTATAAGCACAAACAGTAGTGCTTATAGTTGTACAGCTACATAAATGCTTATTGCATGTGTGCTATGGTATTTTATAATCTTCATCTTGCACTTATAGTTCCTTTAAATGTAGAAAAAGAAAAAAAAACAACTGCTACTGTTGCAAAAATTAAACAACACTCTTTAATGTTAATGTCAAATTACAACTAAAACCACATAATATACATATAAGGTATACAGTTTTTTGACTGGGTTTTTCCTGTGCAGCCAGTTATATTTAGTTTCGGGCAGTGTCAGTAACACCTTACGCCTCCGGTTCACACCCTTGTGCAGATTTAAACAGGACTACTGTTGGGAATGTTGCAATAACCTGACTGACAGCGAGCTCAAACTGCACCCGTCTGACAGTCAGGGAGTTGAAGTAAATCATGGTTACACACAATTTCTGTGGCATTGGGAAATTGTGCAGAAGTAAATCAACACTGTTTAAAATAGACCATTATAAATGTGTAGTTTTACATTAAATATTGTGAAATATTAGAAAAGATTATTTTGTTTCATTATTTGTTTTACTTCAAATATATCGACAAAGCCTGAAATTCAATAAGGATAAAAAAAAAACAGCAACATGACTGAAATAGAAATGCATTCTTTTTTTACACCAGACAACGATTAATAAACAAAGTTTTTTTTTAAAAAAATACCGAAGTTCCTACTAACAAACATGTTAATACTCAGTAGCCGCATTTCAACCCAAAATAACAAGAAGTTCTAGTCCCAAGAGCTTTTTTGTCTGTACTCCCACCAATGTATTCAGACCCACAAAGCTTAAGCAGACATCGTGCAATTAAATATGAAAAAGCAACACCAGTTTTGTTGTTCTCCATCTCCCTTCACTGCTCTCTGATGTAAGTTTAAGTTAATGATTACCAACAATTTATGTGGTAAACCTTGAAGGCAGTGTGATTTTTATGAGAAGTTGCTTTCCAACCAGAAACACTGCAATCCCTGGACCAAAGGCTCCTGAAGTGTCACAAAGTGCTACCCTCCAAAAATATAAAGATATGAAATCATTTTTCCAAGAACTTCATTTAGACCTTGGTTCCTGAGGTACAAACCTCCAAAAGACTGCAGTCCCTGTGGTGGAAACGCAGCTATTGACATACAACATAAAGTATGCACAACCAACAGCATCTACATCATTTTCAGTGCAAATGACTTTTACATAAAAAAAACTAAAATAACAACAACAAAGACATAAAGCAACTAAGAGCAATAGCATATACACACCAGCACCACCTGCCTGTTCTTTTTTTATATTCTTACCCCAGTAACAAGCCAAGCATTCAAACCCAATCTGCATCTTTTACAGCTTAACCCCTGGAGGGTCTTGGGTCGATTTGTGGCTCTAGGTTCGATAGTGTATGCATTTTTCTAGGACCCTCCAGGGGTTAAAGTAAACAATATTATCTGGAGTGTCACTTTTCATGTCTTTCTGCAGACCTCTGCAAGAGTTTTGAACTTTGGTCCGAGTGTGTTCAGAAAGTCAAGGTTATCATTGTCATTATTATCACTGCAGCATCCAACAGAGCCAGCTACAGAGCCATGTCCCTCGAACCCGTAGGAGTGGATGATATCATCTGCATATCGCCCATCCTCCACTGTTCCCATTTGGATCAATTTCTGGAAGACACAGGCAGTTTGTTATTACTCCTTGGACTAAGCCTGGATGATAGGAGCAAGCATACAACACTTTCAAAGCTGCTCGGGATATGACTGACGGACGGATATTACACATCGAGCAAACAGATCTCCAACAGGTTAGAGAAATAATATCTTTCACCAAAGGTGAGAAATATTGAGGTTTACACAGGATGCTATCACAGCTTAGAGAAGAAGATAATATTACAAATGGGAGTTAACTTATCTGTAACAGGTAACACATTATTAAACCGCAGAAAAAGAAACTTCTGCTGCTCTCTTTTTGACTTTTTATGCAAACTTCTGCCACTAAAACAAATAAATAATATGTTTGTAATCATAAACTAACAATACCTGATGTAGATAGCGGCCATTTGTTTCCCAATTATACAGAAGAGCTGGGTCCATGTTGTGTTGTCTGTAGTCAAAGTCTACACCACTACCAACAAGCTGACCATAGGATTGACGATCTATGGTCATGTCATACTGGCCGGTATAGTAATCCTGCATATTAGCTGCAGAAATATCAGTCCTTCCATGCATCCCATTCTCGTGAACACCAAGGGTTCCAATAGTGCTTCCACTCTTGTTCCCGATCCATGAAGGATTCATCATTACACCCTTGACAGAACCCTTTACTGCTTGGTCAATCTCAAATGGGGGACCATTGATGAGACTTGCATCCTGTCAATCAAAGCAAACGTGGCAATTAAATAAATGAAGCAGAAGGGGAAAAGAAAAGAAGCAAATATGGTTTCCTTGTGAGTAACGGTAAGCCAAGGCAATGCTTCCGCATTACTGTCCTTACCACTTCGTCCCCTGGGGCCTCCGTGTTGGATTTGAGTAGGATTCCTCCAGTGTCTGTTGAGTCGTCAAGTTGCAACTTCTCTCTCTTTGTTAGACAGAAAAATGCAAGGAGCAGGACTGCAATGACAAAGCAAGCGTGTTCAAAATGACAGCTCACAGAGTACTTTTGTGTGCGGTAAGCGTCACAAGAATGAGCATAGCAGCATTATACACTACACTATTGTATGCAAAATTGCTTTTTGCATATTGGAAACTGAACAAACTACGAAAGAACCTCCAGCTAACCCTTACTACTTATAATTACAGTGGAAGACTCACAGAGCAGTAGGAGGAGGGCCACAGGCAACAGCATAGTCAGTATTCCCAGCGGTCCGAGCGACACGGACCTGTCCTTGCCAGGGCAGACGCCATTCTTGCACTTGCAGACTCTCAGATTCACTGTCTGTGTTTTGCCACTACCCTGAAGATCTGTAACAGTCAGGTCAACGGTGTGCATCCCCAAATAAAGCGGTTTGAGCTGCTCCAATGTAGCTGCAGTGTCTAAGAAGGAAACACGTGATAATTATAAAGAGACTCAAGCTTAACCAAGAAAAGCACCAAAAAAAGACTGAAGAATATTGTTTCAGGCTACATCATGTGACTTTAACATATACTTAATACTAAGATTTGTAATAAAATATTTATACTTCATAAAACAGAGTATTACTGTGTGAATGTATGTGATTTATGATTTTACTGTCCATGCAGTAAGACCCATGTCCACATTTTTAGCCCCCAACATATACTAATCTACTCGTTTTAAAAAGTGCACAAACAAAACAAAAGATGCATCGACAAGTTCACGCAGTTCCAAGTCTTTTTCTCATCTACATTGTTCTTGATTACATATTTACTTCTGAAAACCGAGTATTCACAGAGTGGTGAAACAAAACAGCTCCACAACACCCTCACATATTTGTTTCTTTTCTCACCACTGGAATGATACCATGTCACTTTTTGGATCATGCTGTACATAGGGTACTACTAACATTTGTAAAAAAAAATCTTTTCGTTCACATTTGATTAAAAAGATACACTTTGCGCTTCATCGTGTACAAAGACAGCCACTTACCATTAAGACTTTTCACAGACCATGTGCCATCATTGTTATTTGGTAAACTGAAGGTGAATGGGGAAGAAAAGGGACTCTGATCTTTGTCTTCGGCCACCACCACCACAGAGCCGAGCACTCCATCCTCCTGACAAAACGTGAGCTCACTAGGAATCGTAGGAATGTTGTCGTTTTCATCCTCCACCCAAATGACAACTGTTCCTGTTGCTGACTTGGAGCCTGAAACACAACAGCATTACTGGTTCTCACGTAGTCGTGTGGACATGTTGGCACACAGGAACAATGGAACACACCATTTTCATTACAATAACGCGGTGTCACCTAAGTGCAAGTTTTAAGTTCTGCCAAGCACTGGGATATGTGCCCAATTTCCACAAAACACTCAAAGGAACATGAGTCATTGTAAATGACTAGCCACTTGATTTTTTTTCCAACAGGTTTTATCTTGTCAACAGGTGTTCTCGTGAAAAATAAAGCCGCTCAGACAAACAGCTCAAGGTGGAGCTTGTACTTTTAACAACTTTCGGATTGTTTGACACACCGCAAGAAGAAATGAATGAACGGCAATAAGGTTTATTTAGTCACACAAGGCACTACCTCAAATGATCTGGCAAATATCCATCAGGTAATATAGAATTGAGTACAGAAAGGACCACTTGTGTATTGTTGAAGGTTGTGTTTTCTTCATCAGTACTGAAGTGCCTACAAAAAACTTACTAGCATCAACAGCCCTCACTGTGATGTTGTAAAACCCATCGTGAACAAGCGGTGACTCTCTGTCAATTGTGTTTGCCACCCTCAGCTCTCCCGTGTCTCTGTCAACATTGATCCAGGAGCCCGGGTCTGTGATCTTGAAATACCTAAGAGACAAAAAAGTACTTGTGCATTACTCGCATGTTCACTCTTGTAGTCCAAGTCACGAGAACAAGTGTTATTGAGGCAAATTGAAGTCCTTACTTGATGCCTTTGCTGCTCTTCGTCTCAGGGTCTGTAGCTGTATAAGTTCCTATCACTGTGCCATTTGGTGTGTTCTCTTTGACATTGAAGCGGATCGAAGGAGCAGAGAATTCTGGGCCTTCATCGACATCGGTGACACTGACCTTCACAGGGATGGAGTTCCAACTGGCGCTGCTGCCACTCAGCGGTGCTTGATTTTGTGCTGTGATCTGAAGCTGTACACTGTTCGTCTTCTCATAATCTAATGGCTGAAAAAAAAGAAAGACATTTAAAAGTTTATGACTATAAATCAGTTTTATAAAGGCGGACTTTCCGTTAGATGTGATCCATGTAAAATGCTACTACCAACATTACTAAATGATAATAACGAATTTAATAAGAAGTCAGTCTCACCTTTGAGACGTACAGAAGCCCTTCATTTGTTTGGGGGTCAGTAACAATCCTGAAATTTCCATTTTCATTTCCTTGAGTAATGACAAACTTTGATATCCAGTTTGGTGTGTTTATTAAATCTTTATCTTGAACTGGAATCCGAAGTAGAAGTTTTTCACTTTCATTCTCTTGCACAGCGACATCATACTAAAAGAAAAAATACGTTTTTTGGGAGGAGGGGAGATTACTAAACAACCAATGTTCATGGAAAATAAGTATGACAAATGTAAGTATCAGTTATTCAGACAGATTACATACTGACAGTTTTTTCAAACACTTACAGATGTTTTCATGAAGGTTGGCGGGTTGTCATTGATGTCACTCAGAACAATTTTTGCTGTTGATGTGGCAACCAGACCGTTTGCTGCACCATTCATATCCTGGATTTGTACAACCACCAAATGGTTGTCTTTTAACTTAAAAAGAAATGTTGCAAAATATAATAAGGAAAATATGTTGGAAAGCACTTGTATCATCTTCTTCAAAGCTATTTTCATTTAAATAAATTTCACAGGTATCACTGATGCAGAAGCAGTGCTCACCTCTCTGTCTAGGGTGTTGGTTTTTGTTGTGATGACACCTGTTTCCGCATGAATGGCAAACATGTCTGTTCCAGTTAGGAGTGTATACCTAATCTTCACATGGTCGGTGCCAATTTGGTCTTTGTCGGTTGTATTCACCTTTCCCACCACAGTCCCTGTATTGGAAACCACGATCATTTAGAGCAACTGCACTGAGGCCAAACACCACAGATTTATCTGTTACTCTATTTTGCTTTTCTCACCTACACTACAGTGCTCAGGAACCATAAACTGTAGAGGACCTACAAACTCCGGTGGATTGTCATTTACATCATCTACAACCACTTTCAATGGCAGATTCTCATCTGTCTCCTGAAATGTGATCTTGTTCCAAGAACGCACCACAAACTATAAACAAAAAAGACAAAGGTGTAAGCAAAGTTAAAGGCAAAAACATTATAAGACATATATAAATTGTGTCACTTCCAGGTTTGAGTGAACAATATAAAAAAATGCGTAATAGAGAATCAAAACTCAAAACTAACAAGTTGACAATCTATCATTATTTTTATTTAATGATAAATCGTTCTTTTTGAATGACTGCTGAACAGTAATGCAACTGACTAAAAACCTTAAATCATTTTCATGTTCACACTCACACTATATACTGGGAACGCCTCACGGTCCACTGCTTTGAGCAAGAACAGATCCCCTGTGTCTCTGTTCAGTTGAACACTCCAGTTGGATACTTATCGAATCCTTCTCCTTCGACAGTGTAGAACAATTTATATTTGGCTGAGGTATCTGACACCAGCTACAGGACAAACCAAATAAAACACACATATTAAAGAAAACAAAAACAACAAAAATTCTGTTATTCAGTTTTCATAAAGCAGCCTACTGTGAGCTCTTTCAGCTCGTAGTGTTATTAAATAGATCAAAACTGTAGACAGTTTCCAATCTGACATGCTGGTAATGTAACTTAAAAAAGAACATCAAAGGAAATAATCACTGAATTTAATTAACAGGTGTGACTCCTGAAATAATCAGATAATTTGAGGGGGGAAGTGAGAAAAGAGAACAATGTGTGCTGACAATAAACATTTGAATAGCACAGTGCTTATAAATGATATGAATTATACATTTAATTTACCCTTTCGACTAGTTTTGGATAGGGTCCTACGTAATTCTCCACTACGTTGAGGTTCGGAGGTGCCCAGCGTCTTTTAGACCGACTCAGGAATCCTTGGCGTCGTTGCTGTGACATTTCAACAAGTCAGGATATGTTAGGAAAAAACGCATCGTGCTTTCTGAGCTGTATAAACGGCTCACAATATGCAGTTGCCTTACATGTTTTGTCGGCATTGTACTGCGGACAAGGTGAACTTCCATCTTACTTTCCGGTCCACTATTGTCCTGAGCGCACACAAAAAATGTCCGTCGTCTTTCTGCCACTGAGACAGACGTTAAAGCTACCACTGCTCCATTACTGTTTATTGTAAAACTCGGGTCCTTCACAGTTAACAGCGTTGATTTGGCATCACAACCGACGGTTTCAACTGAAAACCGAGAAAAGGAAAGTTAAAAAGAGCCATAAAACACAAAACAGTCGGCCTACAACACTTTTTCACACAGACAGAATAAAAAAAAGTAAGCAGAGCAGCACCTTTTGCTACTTGGTATTCAGGTGGAATTGTTTCAGGTACAATTACGTAGAGAGACCTCGGGAGAGAGCACGACTCCACACAGGACAGGATCTGAAGGTGAAAGTGAGTTTCAAACGGGCTTGTCGCGTTTAAATGTTGCTATAGCAAACAGCATTGACAGAAGTAACAGACAGCAAAGCGTATTGGTGATGTAGGAGTGCTTTAAAACCAAACTAGAAGCACTTACCAGCATTAGGCAGATGGTGGAAATTAAAACTCTCCCCATCTTTGGAAGAAAAAAACAGTAAAAGGCTGACTTTGTCCTGGGTCCAAGTGGGGAGAGTCCGGTTAGTATTTCAGAGAGTAATAGAAAACAAATGCGTCTAGTCTACTCGAGAGTTTCGTCTCTTGTCTGTTGCTTCACTTCTCTGTCAATGCGAAAAGGCAGGCGTTTCTCAGACGGCTCTATCTGTCGCTGTTGGGTGAGTCAGCGGACACACCTTTGCTGACACACCCAAGTGAAATTTCAAACAAGCGAAGTACCTTTGGGCTGTGCTCGCTGGTGTCTGCTGAGAAAGCCAACTCCCTCAAAGCTGCTGATATTCGCGTTTTTCCCGCCAGCAGGGGGAAACATTACTCTTTTACTGGAAGACATTAAACCGCTCTTTTATTTCCAATTAAAGAGTTTTAGCAGGAGCATAAGAGCTAAAATACATGTAATTAAAGCTTTAAGCACTATTTGTATAAATCCATGCATATAACGCAAAAACAATAGTCGTATAACACTAGCGCATGCTGCAGGTACACTTATTTGCAGAAATACTGGTCTGTCTGCCTTTTGTCAAGACTTGTCCCAGGTCTACACAGAAAATTGACCCCTACGTCCTCCTCTCTCCTTTAGCTCTACTCTGTAGGAGGAGCACACTTGAGCTCCTCTCTGCACACCACAGGAATTTGAGCCGAATGAACCCTGGTGTGGGAGAGGCTGTGGTTCCCACAGCAAAACGCTCACAATCTTTATAAACTGCTGATAAAAGTGAAGAGACAAAAACGATGGACCTACTTTTTTTAAAGTATGTCCATCTGGATATACTTTAATAGTTAGATTGTTATTAAAGGGGCTTTTTGAAAGCAGGGTATATGGGTCTGTAACAGGAAAGGTGAGAAAAATGTCAGGAAGACAGTGGGAGTCATGGGCGTGGACATAATGAAGACTTTAAGGCTTTAACGCTTTACCAGCAAATACAAAACAGACACAGTAAAACCCCATGTGATGTTATTCCCGAGATAAAAAAAGTAAAAGCTAACTGCTGTCGTACTTAGGCTTCTGTGTGTTCCCAGAATTAAAAGTCTAAACAAGCCTATGTGTAACAAACGTATCATATTTCCAGTTATTCAGCTGGTTTAATCATTACTGATGAAACATCCCCCACAGTATCCTGATAAGATTACTCATAACTGATGTTTTTAGATTGTACTTTTGCTTTTGCAGAGTTGTGCAGTGACAAGAAAGCATAAATGTAACCTTTCTCTGGAAGACATTTTCTTTTTTTTAGCTTCAAATGAAATTCCTAAGATGTCTTGGTGTCATTGCCATATGACCTCATGCATTTTACTCCCAAAGTGCAGTTTTCTGTTAGTTTGAACTCATCTGTTACGAAATGGTGTGTTTTGCCAAGACTCCACGTAAATGCTGGGGAGCTAAGACAGGATGTTGTGAGATGCAGTGTTTTAAAGGAAGTGAAAATCTTACAAAGGGAGTATAAAGGTATCTGAGCTGCCACTTCACTGGGTGTGGACAACACATGTTCAAGTCCCACACATGCAAGGTTTCCTGCCACTGCTTTGAAAGCACACACCAGTATGCATTAAGCAGGTTTTGTGTTCTAAGTGCTTATTAATGTTGCATTAATGCTGATAATTAGATGCCAGTTATGAGGATTCTTCAATGAAATTGAATATTTTTATTTCATTTGTTAACATTTAATCCCAAAAAATACTCTTGCCATGCAACCCTGCTTTAATTAAAGATTAATCTTGTGTTTATTAATGTCAGATAGGCTTGCTATATATTCTAAATAGTTCTATAGTTCAAAATTTGATATAAAAACTTATTATCAGCAAATTATTGACTTGAGTCAAGTTTGATCCTGAACATACTGCGAGGACATGAAGTATGAACAGTACACAAGGGTTAATTCAGCGGCTCGGTTTATGACTGTGACACACGTGCTTGACGTTACAAAGTTTCTGGATCCACCCAAAGCAGCTACAACACCCAGCTTTCTCCACCCTTTGCATGAGTATCAAATACAGTACTCGCATCATCACGTGTACGAGAGTAGTATTCTACTGAAACCATTTGAGGATTAATTCACTGATGCCAAAGTCATTATTACTAATACCTTTGTGATTTGTAGCGTGTACTCTGTAATCTAGACTGGTCATTCTGAAACGTGAAATGATTTCCTCAAAGATTTTCCTCTAGAGCAGTCATGCATGTCTACATAGACATGTTGAATTAGTCTGTGTTCATAAGGACTAATGCATCAACCAGTTATTTGATCAGTGCATAAGCAAATATCCTTCTTTATGTATTCCTGAATGTGTACTGCACTCAAATCGGCCAAAGAAGTTTCAGTGTTGTTGTTTTTCTCAGAGTTTCAGTGTTGTCAGCTTACTTCTGCTGCATTTCAAAACTCAGTTTTAGTTTGGCACCGCATAATTTGAGAGCCTCGTTTTTTTTCTGTCTCCTGCTTTTCATGATGTTATAAATGATCTGTCATAAATCATGTGACACCATCAAAACCACTCTCTGTGTTTTTAAATACTAAGAAAGCCATGGAATGAATGATTGATTGCTTATAAAAATTAAAACAAAACAGCAATTGCATAATTCCCCCATATTATGTGATATATTGCCTTCGTGGTGCTCCCTACCACCCAAAAGTCATTGGGAATTCTTGGTAACAGCCAATGGTTTTTCAGTCTGCTGCTACAGATCTATCAGCATTCAGAGTTGTGGCCAACCAGCACTTGTATCACCACCAAGATTTCACTTAGACTCCACCAAGAATTTCCGATCTATTCACAAACTAAGACATTTAAAAAAAAAAAAGTCAGTTATAATATTTCTCATTGCAAATAATACCAGCATAAGCTATGTTTGCTACTTGTGATACCATATATCACAACCTATTGTATAGCTTGTTGCAAAAAATATGCATATATGGCACAAAACATCAGGATCGACATAACAAGGTGGTCATGACTAGATATAAATGGTGATAATATAATATACACAGGGGCTCAAGCCAAATTCTTGGAAGTTTTCTTTTTTTTCTGGCATTTCTTTCTCACCATTATGGTTGTGAATCTTACTTCATGGGATAGGTAGTCTAAATCGAAATCAAGCAAGGTTAGAGAGAGCAATGAAGGAACGCCATGGCCATAATCCATGATGCCAGAGAGAACCCTGAATAGCATAAAAATGTGTGAAAATGAAAAGAAGAAGACCACAGATTCATGCATATAGTGTAGTGAAGGAGGACATGCAGAGGGTGTCATGGTCCTGGGTTGTGTGACCCAGTGTTTTATGTATCTTTTGTATTCATTTATGCTTTAGCTTAGTTAATTTCTAGGGTGCTGTTTAGCCTTTTGTTTCTTAGTTGTTTATGTCATCTCCCTGTACTCAGTCTCCCTGGTTCGTGCGTCTACCTGTCATGCGTCATGTCTGCGTGGTTATGTTTAGTTCATGTCATGTCTAATCTCCATGTTTGCTGTTTTAGTTTGAAAGTCTGTATTCAATGTCAGTGTATTTAGTTTCACTTCTCCTGTCCTGTATTTAGGTTCATGTGTGTCAGCTGTGCTCCCATGTGTGGCCACTTCCCCTGATCATCCCTCATGTGTATTTAGTCTCTGTGTTTCATGCAGTCTGTGTCGCGTCGTCTGTGTTCCCGCCCTCCATGGGCTCACAGCCAGTCTTTACAGTCATCGTCATGGTTTTCTGAGTCTTCATAGCTTATCTGCTTCCAGTTTAGTTTAAGTTCAGTTTAGTCACGGTATTTCTGCTTTGTTTGAAACCTGTCATCAGCCATAATAAAGGCTCGCTTTCAGTTTAAGTTTACTCCGGTCTACTCTCTTGTGTTCGCACCTGGGTCCACCACACACACCACCACATGGTCTGTCTCCTCAGATCGTGACAGAGGGCTTGTGTGTGAGAGGAGGATAACAGGGATAATGTGAGATGGAGGCAGATGATCCATAGTGGCGACCCTTAAGGGTACAGTCAAAAAAGAAGATTATTATTTCAACCTGAGATTCCTTGCCTTTGGCCCATTTTGTGTGAAGAACATATAAAATATTTTAAGTGGCTTCAAACTCTCACCGACCCACCCAGCCCTCACATGTTTGAGTCCACTGAACCGAAGGGTCATACAAGGCTAGATGCACTTTCACCCTGTCCTCCTCCTAGATCACCTGCTATTAGCATTTCTGTGTAAATTTGGTCCGTGTGTCTGTGTGAGTGTGTGTGTGTTTATTGTTCTAAGGTGAATCTACCTTCACATCTCACCTACTATTGTTAAGTTGTTGCCATGGTTTAACTGTTGTAAATTTTAAGATGGTAAACAATACTGAGATATATAATCACAGCCCTAAATACACTCCATTTACTTTATATACAAACTAGTGTGGCTTCAGGGCAGTAACCATCTAAAATAAACAAAACAGCAATGAACCAGTTAAACCTACTGTGCAATCCTACGACTGACTCCTTATCAAAGTGAAACTGGAAAAATGACAAAACAAACAAAGTCTACACAATCTCTTAGGGCAGCAGATCAGCACGTCCCTGTAAAAAATAAAAAGTAAATGAAAATTGCTGTATGGCAGTTGTAAACCTGAGTTAAGACTTGTATTGATAATAGCAATAACAAATTGAAATTTGGGTAACTGTTAATATTAGAGATATTTTTACCCAGAATCCATTTTGCAGAATATCGACTGCTGGATTTTTATTTGTGTTCTCGATCTTTATTGTCACAGTGTTAATGCCTTTGTGGATGTTTGGTTCTCCAAGCTCACCACTTTTACACTTTAAGAATTTAACGGGCAGTTTCTCAAAACATATTACCTGGAACCCTCCAAACCTCTTCGTTTTGCACAGTCTTTGTTTTTAATAAAATGCTGACTGGACTCGTATGATTCTCCACCAGAAGGACGACAGTTCCTGTTGTTGTCATGGAGCCTGCAATACAACAGTAATGTAGAAAATGTGTACATGTTGGCACACAGGAACAATTGCAATTACGAAGTGTCACCTACAGTGCCTCCTTCTTGATTCCATATTTTTTGCACACATGTCACAATTCCATGTTTCAGATCATCAATGTTGATTTAATGTTCGACAAAGATAATCTGAGTAAATACAATATCCTGTATTTTTTTTTGTTTTGTCTTGTATGTTGTTTTTCATTTATTAAGTGAAATATGTTATCCAAACCTGTCTGGCCCTGTGTGAAAAGGTAATTGCTCCTAAACAAAATAATTGGTTGGGGCAATTATCTTAGCACCAAGAACTGCATGCAGTCAAGCAACTAGAATAACTGGGATTGAGTCTTTCACATCACTGTGGAGAAATTTTGTCCCACTGTTCTTTGCAAAATTGTTTTGATTCAACCACATTCGAGGGTTTTCAGGCATGAATGGCCAATTTCAGTTGAGAAAGCTAAGACTTTGACTAGGTCACTCCAGTCAGAGATGGACTTGTTGATGCG